GGCTCTGCTGGCCTGGGTGGGCGTGGTCCTGTGGCGGCAGGAAGTGGGCAGTCTGTTCGGAAAGCTGCCAGGCCCAGCGTCTAGGCAAAGCCTTTATTCTGCAAGGGGCCCCTCCCGCCGCGCTTCCCCCACGACGCCTTATCAGGTGGAGGACGGAAGGCTGTCCTCTCCCTACACTCATGCCAGCTCTCCGCTCCCGCCTCGCACAGCTCCACTTGCCACCAGCGGGGAGAGGCAGGAGTGGGAGGCAGAGCTGGAACTGGGAAGAGAGGGTGAAGTCCTCCTTCCTCAGGGTCCCCTCTGGCACCTGGCCCACTGGTTCCGTGCTCCATGGCTGTCCCCCATGGTCCAATCCTGTGGCAGACAGGGCCCAGGTGGCTTGATCTATAGGGCAGTCCTGGCTCTCCTGTCCTTCCCAGCCAGGCTCCCTGAGGCTCAGCCCTGTGGCTGCACTCTGTCACTTCACTACAGTCTGGCCCTTGGGTGTTGGTCCTCCAGAGGTCCAGGCCACCATGCTCTGGCCCTGCTGAGTCCCAGTCCTGGTGATGCGGGCATCTGAGAGCCCAGCACTCGGGTCCTGACTCTGGGACACTTGTCCTCAACATCTGGGTCTTCACAGAGTGCAAGACTTCCTGGGACAGTGGCCCCTCAGGGTGAGGCCTCCAGGAGTCTGCTCTCCCACCAGTTTCGTCTGCTGCAGGCCTGTGCACCCTCCGCGGCCTGGCCCTTGGGGAGCCTGTCTCCTGTGCCCGGGCCGGCTGAAGGTGTCAGCAGCTGTGGTCCGTTCCTTCGGTGGCTGGTCTCCTGCACTCAGTGTGGGCCTCTGCAGCAGCCAGACTCTCTGGGGACTTGCGGCGTTGTGATCTGACACCCTGACAAGAGTCACCCACAGGGTCCAGGTCTCTAGTGACCGTGTCTCTGCAGGACCAGTCCTCCAGGGCTGGGCTTGGGTGTGCCCAAACCCTCTCATGGGCTTGCCTCTCACGGTCTGGGCACATGCTGGGGTCATCTCTGGTCTGGCCTGTCCCTGGTGATCTCAGTGTTTGTTTGAGAAGCAGGTACTGTTGGGGGAGAGAACAGATACTGTACCTGCAGGCCTGCTCGGCCTGGTGGGAGGCTGCTCCCTACCCACCTCCTTGGCCCTGTGCACTCAGAGGGAGCACCAAGTTCACGCCTACCTCCTTACGGCTCCGGACAGCCTGCTGCAGCCACAGCAGCTCCATGGCCAGGTGGCTGCGGTGGTGCTGGAGCTCCTGGAGCTCACGCTGGTGGTGGGGCAGCCCTGAACCTGTGGCTTCCAGGGGAAAGGGGGAAGAAGGAGGGAGAAAGCCTCAAGAGGTGCACACTGGGTCCTCCACTTCTCACCCATGAGGAAAGGGACATCAGCCCTTCACTGTTCAGATGGCGAGGCTGAGGCCCAGAGGGTCAGGGGCCTTCCCTGACCTGGGCAGGGGGGTACCTGGGTCCTCCACCCCTGAGATGTCGCTGGTCTCCTCGTGGCTGGGCCTCCTGGATTTCCTACTCAGTTCAGCCTGAAGCCAGGAACTGCCATCCCTGCAGGGAAGACCTCCAGGGTTTCCTGAGCTGGCTCCAGACTTCTGCAGCACGGTCTCCTCCCGGACGGCCTCTCTCTCAGCCTCTTTCCATGACGAGTGTCTCCATGGTCCCTGCTCTGGGTTTGGCACCCTTTCTCCTGCTTTCCAGGACCAATTAGACTTTGCCTTCTGAGAAATCAGACGTTTGAGAGCCTCAGGGCTGACCCCTCCAAGCAGCAGACAGGGGTGAGGACTAAGGATGGGTGCAGGAGGAGACTCTGAGTCTCTTCAGTGAGAAGCGCTGTCAGCAGAACGGGTCGGTTCTACCATTCCCTTGACTATCCTGCCCAGGTCCTGCCTTGCCCCCTGCCCCCCCCGGGGTGTGCTTTACCTCTGGGAGAAATCGCGGTCTGGGAATGCAGCCCCCAGTCCACCGCAGCGTGCCCAGGTCGCCCTCGATCTCTCGTACGATTGTCTCATACTCAACCTGAAGCCTCTGGAACTGGCGACGGACCAAGAAGCCCCGGACGCAGGCCTGGCGTGGAGAACGAGGGGGGAAGAGGCCCCATCCCTGTAAGGGGAGGCAGCTTGGGGGAGCCTCGGGGTCAGGTCATCCTGCGACTGCACTGGGGCAAGTATGGGTGACACTGCGCCTCTCCGACCCAGCACGCTCGTGTGGTGGGAATGGGGGCGCAGGGAAGGAAGCCTGCGGGGCCGAGACCGCCAGAGTTTGGCGCCAACACGAGGAGTGTCACGGCCCGAGCCCCCCCTGCCCCGCGTCTGCTCCCGTACCTGCAGCACAGACACCCTCC